TGAATGGGCTATGTGAATGCATTTTTGGTTGCCAAAAAACCGGATAGCGACCTCAGATTTCAACTTACATCCAACCAAATGGGTTCTCACATCCGAATAAAACCAAGTCTGAGATGCAGTCTGAGGCATTTTTGGGAGGCTTCCAATGGGCTTTCGCGACCTGGTACTTGAAATCATGCATGATTTACATTGATGTTCTACTTCCTCTGCTCCATAAATCTGGCGACATTTGAAAAACAGACTTTTTCCACAATACTGGCGACATATCTCTTCTATTGACATGAGTGTATTTTATTGGTTAAAAAACTCACTGGGTCTACAAGGATGCTGGGCAGGTAACTATGAAGGTCTCGCCACGTCGCAGAGCATTCTTCTTCAAATGAGGTAAGCGAAGCTGATTGCCGCCATTGTGTTCAACCACCAAGCGCATGACTGCCTGAAGAGTTAGAAACACGTTCTCGAGCTTCACCAATGAGAGCCCCTGGAAGGCCGCATGGGGTCAAGGGAATCACGTCATCGATTGAGTGACTCGCCACTTTGTATTGTAGCGACTGGACCGACGCAAAAAAGCCAAGATCAAGGACGTTCAGGTCCGGGCTGTTGGGTGGTTGGCGCCGCACGACAAACGTCCACCCATCAGTGGAGACGCTCGCCACGACCTCGTTGGTGATGGCACCGTGTGGCGTGGCGTTGTCGTGCTGGAGGACCACGCGCTTGTTGGCGCTTGGGAACCGAGTCTTGATAGCAGATACGACTCGAGTCGTCACGAGTTCACGGTACACAGCAGCATCAACGTTCATCAATGTATCCACGAGCGTATCAGCTGGGCGGTTGCGGGAGTTTCGAAGGACAGGCAAGTACCTGACGAAGAGCCACATCCCAATCTTCCCCTCGAAACTGAACGTCGCTCGTAGTCTTGCCGTCGACGCGCGACCGCCGCAAGGAACATGACCTTCGCGATGAAATTCTTGCTTTTGGCTGCGCGTCGCCCAATTGTCTTGCCCTTCACAAGGTAAACCTTTCGTCGATCCTTGTCTGCATTGAACCATTTCTCGTCCAGATGAACACATCCCACATGCTGTCGAACTCGAACGTTTCAGGCAAAACCGGCTTCGCCGGCGGAATTCGCGAGCGCGGCTAGAGCGGAGCGACGGACGTGCGAGCGGCAAAATTCAACGCGCTCGACCATGTTGATGTCGGTGAGAAAGCGGTTTGAGCTGGGATGACTTGCGCTCGATCGTAGCGTCGCGGAGCTTGCGATGGAGCGTCCCGATGGTCATTCCTGTAGCAACGGACATGCTGCGCAACGTTGATCGCTGTTCTTCAGATACACCCATGACGAGGTTCGTGACGTGATCTTTCGTGGAGACCATCTTCAAACCGACGCGGCCGGGCCTGGAGGAGGGCATGCGAGCGTTTTGTCGGAACTCGTGCCATATCTTGGACACGGTGGTGCGGTGGAGGCGTGTCTCCGTTGCAGTCGAGTTGATGGGACCACGCGCCAACTTGCCATTATCATCGAATAGCAGAAGGCGAGGGATGACCTCCACTTTGGTCTCATACGCGAGCTCACGTCCCGCGCGAAATGTCCATGGTGTTGCACCGCAACAGCTCTCTCGCTTGTGCCTCCTTCTGCGGGCACCTGCGGAATCCGACAACATGTGGGCCTGTCTCGCCCACGAGATGTTCGATGCTGCACTCACCCCTTGTACTCGGCCGGACCGGTTCGACTTCCTACATTTTCGGCAAAACTCACGTAGTGCCGCCGAACGCCTCGCGAAGGTGTCGCCACTGTGGAATGACGTGTGGAAAACTTGGCATCGTCTACCTACGGAAAAACGTAACGCCAAGCCTTTCCAATGGCGAAAAGCTATCAATTCTTTTCATCCTGAAAAGCAAGCCAGCTGGGCCGATCGATATTTGGTAGTGCTGAATTTCCTCCTGGTCATGTTTGCGTCGTGCAATACAAAGCCCGGATTGATACAGTAAGCGATGGAAAAATGTCCCCAATTGGTATTAGAGAAATATCCTGAAATTTGTATTGGCAATAAATTACCCTCAACGAGAATTGACAGTATTAATATTCAAGCTGCTTTCGAATTGCAGAACCTTTTCCACGATGAATTTTTTTATTGGTAGAAACAAGGAACTCATCATTCACAACCACGACGACCAGCACCAAATTCTTCAATAGTTTTGAAAACTATAAATATTTCGAAAATGAAATGTACTTTCAAGTGACAAGCTTGATTACAGGAGTCAGCGGCAGCGCATTTTCAATGAGCGAGTAATGTTCTCACATGGCATGTCATCCCAGACTTCAATAGTGAGCTTAACCATAGCCATGCCTTTTCGGGAGCAGGCGTAACCGGAAATTTTGTGAACCTGGTGTAGGCTTGGTTCAACGTTTGAACGACGGGGTTTTACGGGACTTTCGAAGCAGCGAATGATGGTGGAGGAACCAGTCAATAAAGATTTTTATTGCCCGTACTGTGAATTTATTGCCATATATTTATCGTATACGTTTCAACATAGATGAGTATTGAGGAAGACAAAATATGTTGAACGTAATTGAACAAGAGCACTTTGTGACCCCCTTTAGGTAAGCCCATTAGAATGCCAAAACGGACGTAAGAAACTTCCAGTGCACACTGGCTATGTGGCATACCGTGCATCGAAGTCATGGATAGAACCCTGTACCACTCGGGCGTCGAGCAGGAGCTCTACCGCGTGATATATTTTTCTATTGTTTGTGGTGTTGTTGTTGCTGTATTGTACCAACGCAGGACGGTTTGCATTACATACCATTGGTATATTATATGATAGCGCATTATTGGTAAAACGATGATGAAGTGAGCAGGCTTATACATTGATTTGATAGAACATACAACTGTTTACTATGCATGATATCATGTACTAGGTCGCAGAAAAAATTGTCACCCGTTGGCTAACAGTCCGCGAAGGCATCGAGGGGACCGAGATTAGGGTTAGTTGACATTATTGTATTTCAAAGGTAGAGTTTGAAATAAAATTGGTAGGAAAACTGGATATTATTTTACAATGCAAATATTACATTTGACTCTTATTCTGTATCACTTTCACTTTGTTTAGAAGACGACTCCGACGAGGAGGAATCGACATTGTCCAATTCATCCATGGTAACGAGCAAATTATACAGGTTTCTCACAAGCTTCTCACAATGATGAACACAGTTCAAAATCATTGTAGGTGGCAGCATCGCAAAAGCCACGTCAAGGCGAGAGCGGACATCCGAAACGGTCGTGTCGACGGTATACTGCACTCCAACGTCACCTTTTACTTTTGACCTGACCATTTCAATAGGTTGAAGATCCGAGTGATGTGGCGGAGTGTAGACCACGTTGTGCCCACGTGCACGCGCCATGGTCACGACAACCGGGTCCACACGAGCTGCCAATACAGGTTTGAGCCGTGACCAAATTGTCTTCTTTAAATCGTTCACGTCAACATCAACTCCGTAGCGCTGGCACGCGAGAAGTAAGTCCGTCTTCCGCCATGTTCCACGCGGGGTCTCCACAGGTAAGACCTTGTGGTACTTTGCATTATCCATAACGAACGTGACACCAGTCTTCCCCAGAGATTCGACTTCGTCCATGACTCTCACGAACCATCGAACGAAATACTCGTGGTCAAACATTCCATGGTAGTCTTTCGGCTCCTTTCGTTTTTTCCCACCCTCGAAAATGTCGCGACCAAGCAATTTGGCATCCTGTGGTCCGTTGGCCATAATACCAGCGATGAAGCACAGCCGACGACCCTTGTGCTTGGCCTTTGGAGGTGCGTCGTACGTCGGATCGAACAAACTGTCTTGATGACGAGAGTAGTGGTGGTGAATGTAGCTCTCATCCAGAAAGTCAACAGGCGTCTCTGGTGATAGCCGCGTCATATGCTGCACGCACGTAAAGGTCATGAGCTGCGGCATGTGCACTTGAAACACTGTACGTGGTATGACCTCGGCGTTTGCCACGTTGGAAGCCTAGCTTCGCAAGGTACACTTGCACTACCCTCAAACTTCCTGACGTACTCACAGTGTATGATTCCGTTTTCAACCAACAAGACCAATACGTCCTTGGCAACCGTGCGGACGTTTGTCATTCTGCATTGACGGCTGATTGGCGCACGAGCGTTGCGACTGCACGTGTTCGCGGTATACGACTTGGTTTTTGGTTCTGGTTTGACGGAATGGGCGCGACAACGACGGTTCTTGATTTCTGGTATTCTTCCCACACCTCCTTGACGACTTTCAAGCTACGTTCTAGGACCCGGGAGATCTTTTTGGACACGTTGCGGGTGTTTTCACGGCGATAAACAGCATGGAGACGGAGTACATCAAGACGTTATTCTTTAGTAAGATTTCTTGGACGCTTAAGTCGAATGTAGTTGGTAATGTCATCATATTCGTCGTCGCTGATGGTGGCCATGCCGAACTTCGTGAATGGACGACACGGCACCACAGTATTATTCTAAAGAGGTAAGGCTTTCACAGGTCGAATTAATTAAAATATTACCCCTCGAAACTTAATGTATTAATGTATAGAGGTTATTGGTTTTATTTGCGAAATTTGGATAAATTGCTCTACTTTCCGCAAAATAACTCAAAGGTTATGCATTTTCAAGTTTTGCATTCATTAAACAACTTTTAGATACCACTGAGCTCTGTCCACATTCAAAATTTCAGAGGAAACCGCAATATGGTTATAGAGATATGAATGAAAGTCCCCACGATGCCTTCGCGGACTGTAAATATCCCACAATTTTTTCTTGCAGATTGAATGCTGCGACAATATTAATAGACAGATTTCACAAATGGAATTCACACGATAGACCTGCAACAATGGGCAAAAATTCTAACAGGTCTAGTGGAGATGTGATTTCGCCACATGGAAAGTTGGCTATCGGCAAGTGCACCATGGCCGACGAGATAACCCTTCTGTTGCTACTCGCGGCCGTCCTTCTCGTTCACCTTGCAAGCTGTGTTAGAGTTGTCGCTATTGTAGCCATGGTAAATTGAGTACGACAAATCCATAAAATTGCATTATAACACATGCGTTTAAGACTAGCTGAGCTCATGGCTCGTTACGTTCGGATGCCACGGTGGACAAGGCATTCATGAACGACTTCCTGATCGTTTCTTCGCTTATCGATTCCCACGCCACGATGGTACGTTCCCTCAATTTTATTCGCTTTTCCGCAGCTGAAATCAATGGCAATTCGCGTAACCATAGGGCATGCATCTTTGCCTTCAGAGAGTCCATCACCCGAACATCAAGCGGTTGACAAACACTCGTCGTGTTTGCTGGCAGGGTTCCAGAAACGAGTACAACTCGTCGTCACGGCCCGTCGTGCTGGGACGGACGCATTGGCTGACAGTTCTCCATTAGCAGCGTCGTCGGGCCGACAAGCTCAAACTTAAGGAGCTCCCTTAGGTAGAAGAGCCACAAGTCTTTGTACATCCATGCCGTTTGTTGAACGGCGTAGAAGTGGCCCGTAGGATAGGTTGACAACTCGTTGGTTTCAATTTGGGCACCGGACACCCCACGCGCAATAGAGAGGATCGGCAGTTTCGTTCCTACATAACTACTTAAATTTTATATCAAGTTGACGATATTTATCGCAGACCATCAGCACATACGGCCAACACCGCCGTCATACGATCGGAATGCTTTTCTGAAGTGTCACTGTTAGTGTCGGCGCCAATCTCACACCAAATACGGTGTGGTGGCGTGTCGTAGTATACTGCCGTCTCGTCGACATTAATGATGTCGCGGAATGGGACGTCGCTGAGCTTGGACCAAAATGTTGAGGCAAAGATTTCCTTCTTCTCAAGCAGCTAGGTTTTCTTTACTTTGGAGAAGCAAGGAACTCGCTGAGCAAATCCATGGCGGTGAGCAAAGCGTTGGCACAAGCCGAGGAGTCCTGCGTAGCCAGTGCTTGCTGACGCCTTTTCGCCTAAGTACTGGTCGCCCCAGGTTTGTTGGTGGGTCTTATTCCACGTGAACATATGGGCCGTAGTGAGGTGGTGGCTCTCATAAAAAATGAGGTTTCGTCCATGTTGAGAACATTCTTACCGGAGTAACCGGCAATCAAACTGAGGACTAACGTTGACGGCCTCCCGGGGAATGGATCCTGCCTTGCCGAGTGTGCACCTTGCTGGTAAACCCATCTCTTCTTTTAAATTTGTACAGCCCACCCTTGGAGAAGCGTAGGTTTGTTTGACACCGAATTCGCCGCAGATCGTTCGAGCACGTTGCCTAATGAGGTCGCCAGTGATGTGTACACCAAACTCTTCGCAGCGAAGAACCCACTCCACGAGCTTTACTTCGACCACCGGCAGTTCGACCAGTTGTTCCTTCGTGCGCTTGGCCATGTCGGCACGCCGGCTGGGTGTTCTGTAGCTCTATAGAACGTGCGCGACAGTCGACTTTGATGGAGTTGACACGAGACCAAATGTTTGAGCTGCCCATTAGGCCAGAGCAGAGTTGGATACATTGCTTCGAATATAACTCATGCTTCTCCACAAGAGTCAACAATGTTTGGTTCTTTATTTATATTATTAACAATATCATCTGCAACTTCATTTTGCTTGACATGTCTCGATTAATTTTCTGTATTCGTTCGTGAATGCGTTTGAAAATTCCTCTGACATTCACTGTCATAAATTCCTCTGACATTCAATGTCATAAATTTATGAAAGTTATCAGATTTACCCCGTTCGGTCAGTGGGGGGAAATCAGTAAATTTCACCGGAACGGCATGGCTCATCAGTTTCGCATTTTTATACGTGTACCACTTCGTCGTGTTTTTATCATTTTGACTGTAAAAAAATTAACAGTGGTAGCAATGACTTCCTGGGCTCACACAGGAATCGCACCACGGATGGTTTGCCCACTATTCCTAATTCTACTCTGGTTCGGAATAGTTGTCCCATTGTTTTTGGATTGGCGGAATATTTCTAAAAGTTGTCCAAATGGCGTGATCATTGGTGCAATGGAAAGCGCAAGATCTCTATTTTCATTGGCTACTTTCTGCACGTTCTGAATCGCT